TCAATCTTAATATTTATTTTCATCGGGAACTCAACCGTCCCCATCGCCATCCCCTCAACTGAAGAAGTGAGTAGCGAGACCCCACAGGTTCAAAGTTAGCAATTAGAGCCGGACCCAGGGATTGAATCACTTATATCAGAATTCAGAGGTAAGGCTCATTTATTAGTCTCACATTATTATGTTTACATTAAATTTCTATAAACTCGTGTTTGAATACAGAATTTCAAGAAGAGTCATTGAGAAATCAGCATATGTATATTGTTGGAAAGGGTGGCAAATCTTGAAAAACTTCTGATAAAATCAACAAGAGCTAGTTGCCCAAATTCAAAAACTGTGGACGAGCTGGAGAATATCTAAGCGTTACTGGCAAATCCATCCTATTATAATGAAGAAGTAAGAGTTTGTATGTATAATTACTGCAGCAATGCAATGCAAATAAGTTGGAAAACAATTTTTATAGCTCAATGCAATTATTTCAGATTGCTTCTCTTTCGAGGAAGGGTGGATCGTCGTTGGCTAAGGACGTGTACGACATACTCATTCCATGATTACGAATGAGCTTCGTTCTAAAATTCGATATACTGGAAAAAAGCGACAAGATTCCATTCGCAAATCGATTAGCAGCTAATCTACTTCAAGGTCCCATATATTTAATTCTGCCGATGATTAATGATAAATATTTTTGTACGCCAATTTGCAATTCATCTTTTAATTAGAAATTAATCTATAAATTAGAATTATTTGAGAACCAATTAATGTGGAAATAATGAAGATGAATTTGAAATAAATAAACAATTGAAATTTGAGTAATCCGTGTAAATAAATGTGCATAAATTTCATGCGTATCATTAGTGCATAATCAGCACTAAATTCGCACTAAATTGGTACTAAATTCTCACCATATTACTGCATATCAATCATCACCAAATTCGTACAAACCTGTTTGTGTAAATTTAGTACATATTTTGTACAAGTAAACTTGCATTGACAATTTTTTCGTATGAATCTTGTACATGCGACTTGTACAAAATTACTGCAAATCCGCTTCACATTTTAACGGTGAATACGCATTAATCCAGTAGTACAAATTTGGTACACAATTTTCAGACTTTGGTTGGTTGGGTGTAATACATTTTTACAACGGATCAATATTTTTGAAACCTGCTGTTTGGCATCGACGTCTAATTTCTTGGGTGGATCAATTCGATCATGGGGTCAATGGGACCACCCCCCTTAGCGCCAGGGGCTGTGGTCAAATACTTTTTTGAGGTTAATTTTTTTCTATTCACATGGATTCCACCCCATTGTGACAAGAATCGTTAAAAGCATTATGTGACCTAGCTTCCACACCCCCTCCACCCAGGGGGTGTGGTTATATCGAAAACAGGGAAATCATGACAACTTTTGAGCTGATTAATACTTTACAATTCTGTTTTCATCATACGCCACCATAAATTAATACCGAGTGAACGCCACGCCCCCTCGCAGTCAGGGGTTGTGGTTGGGGGATAATGAGATTTTACCGATCTTGCTGAGAGGCTTGTTGGCCGATCTTGTATTGCTTAACAACATTGCAAATTTGAAATCGGTTTACTTTTTGAATTGTTGACCGATTTTCAAAATTGGGCCCGTTTTGGAAACTTCAGGTCAAACGGCGAAATATATATTCCCAGATTTTTTTTAATTCGACCACACCCCCTTACAATTAAAGTCACAATTTCAAAAAACAAAACTTCAAAAAATCGAATCGCTTGTCGAAAACATACCCCGATGCACATTTAAAACTTTTCAAGTGGTCACATGCCCGCCCCCCAGTGGGTGTGGCTCTGGGCGCCTTTTCGATTTCACCCAAAACATGGGGTGCGACATATCATTATTCTCAGCTCGACGAGGAGATTCCGACAGAGTAAGTAAAATTTCGAAACCACACCCCCAGTGGGTGTGGCCATAGGCTTTTTACCGGTTTACTCGAAACCACGCCATGTGATACATCATTTTTCTCAGCCGGATGAGGGGATCTCAACATAAGTATAAAACTTAGAAGCCACACCCTCTGGGGGTGTGGCCATGGGGGTATTTTCGATTCAATTGGAACCATGTTATGCAATATATTAATTTTCTCCGGATGACGGGATTTGAATTAAATAATGAAAATTCAGAAATCGGACAACCAGTGCGTATAGCTCTCGGTTGCTTTGACTTCCAATCTAAACCGTGTAGTGCCAGTTTTCGGAGTTTTAGAGTTTTCGACAAGTAAATTGGGATAGAATAATTCAAGATTAGAACCCACGCACTAGTGTGGTTAAAGTAGGGTGATCAGAATATTCCAAATTTCTCTGATGTACTAGATAGGGCATATTATTCCTCTCAAATTACAATACGATCTCATGCAGGCTTGAATTAGGAAAACACCGACAAAATTTTTGGCGTTCAAGATTTTCTTAATTAGTCAAATGGGGTAGGTAGGTGGCTGGACTTGGTCTAAAACTCCTGTATAATCTGGGCACCGCGCCTTTATTAAATGGCGCAAGCTACTTTATGCGATCGGTTAGTTGGTCTGTCTGTCAGTCCGTCCGTAAGTCCTTCCGTCTGTCAACACTAAAACTCGAGACTGGTTTGTCGCAGCGACCTTAAATTTTTATCACATGTTCTTCACGGCTATTGGGTGACACCCTATTAAGGGGGTGTGGCCATTTTGTCGACATCATGTCGAAAAACGTCGCCAAGCCCTGATTTCGGCATTTTTCGGTCGATTTGCATGAAATTTGGACAAAACATGTCTTTTGGTGTTGTCGGCATTTTTTCTCATTAAAACTTTTTCCGAATTTTGTACACGAGAATACATTAATTAGTCCCTCTTTGCCATCATCGTCACGGTTCGGTTCCGGTTCAGGTTCTAGTTCGGTACGGTTCTCGGTACTGTAATTTCGGTTCTCGGTTCCTAACCGGTTCGGTCCAAGAACCGGACCGAACCGAACCGTTGCGACCATTAGGTCAGAGTCGCCGAGAGCCACACAGACTCGGGGTTCTGTTCTTGAATTTTCATAATTCAGTTGAGATCATATCACTCGGCCGAGAAAATTAATATATAGCATGACATGGAACCAATTCAATCGAAAAATCAACATGTACCACACCCACTGGGGGAGTGGTTTCTAAATTATACACTTTATACACTTTCGTTGAATTCACTCATTCAACTGTGAAAAACGATATATCACATGACATGGTTCCACTTAAACCGAAAATATGGCCATGACCACACCCCCAGAGGGCATGACCTTCTAATTTTTATAATTCCGGTGAGATCCCCTTATCCGGCCGAGAAAAACGATATATCACATTACATGGTTCCACTTAACCCGAAAATACGCCCATGGCCACACCCCCAGAGGGTGTGGCTTCTAAGTTTTATACTTATGTTGAGATCCCCTCATCCGGCTGAGAAAAATGATGTATCACATGGCGTGGTTTCGAGTAAACCGGTAAAAAGCCTATGGCCACACCCACTGGGGGTGTGGTTTCGAAATTTTACTTACTCTGTCGGAATCTCCTCGTCGAGCTGAGAATAATGATATGTCGCACCCCATGTTTTGGGTGAAATCGAAAAGGCGCCCAGAGCCACACCCACTGGGGGGCGGGCATGTGACCACTTGAAAAGTTTTAAATGTGCATCGGGGTATGTTTTCGACAAGCGATTCGATTTTTTGAAGTTTTGTTTTTTGAAATTGTGACTTTAATTGTAAGGGGGTGTGGTCGAATTAAAAAAAATCTGGGAATATATATTTCGCCGTTTGACCTGAAGTTTCCAAAACGGGCCCAATTTTGAAAATCGGTCAACAATTCAAAAAGTAAACCGATTTCAAATTTGCAATGTTGTTAAGCAATACAAGATCGGCCAACAAGCCTCTCAGCAAGATCGGTAAAATCTCATTATCCCCCAACCACAACCCCTGACTGCGAGGGGGCGTGGCGTTCACTCGGTATTAATTTATGGTGGCGTATGATGAAAACAGAATTGTAAAGTATTAATCAGCTCAAAAGTTGTCATGATTTCCCTGTTTTCGATATAACCACACCCCCTGGGTGGAGGGGGTGTGGAAGCTAGGTCACATAATGCTTTTAACGATTCTTGTCACAATGGGGTGGAATCCATGTGAATAGAAAAAAATTAACCTCAAAAAAGTATTTGACCACAGCCCCTGGCGCTAAGGGGGGTGGTCCCATTGACCCCATGATCGAATTGATCCACCCAAGAAATTAGACGTCGATGCCAAACAGCAGGTTTCAAAAATATTGATCCGTTGTAAAAATGTATTACCAGATGCCATATAAACATCCACCCCCATAGAACTAGTTAGAGGTCATATAGAAGTGCCAACTCTGAGCAAAAAATTTGAAACTTTCGAAATTTTTTTCTCAGCCGTTTATGGCCATGGAGTCAAAACCTTCTAGGGTTAAGGTTCACTCAGGTCGAACTATCATTGGTAAAAATTTCAAGCCGATCTGTTATTATCAACCTCGCAAGCTCCCCTCCTAAGAGGGCGGAACAATCCCAAAATATCATTTTTCACCTAATGAGATCGTATTATTTGGCAGTTATTTTGAAGTGGGGCAAGCTGAAACCCATCCTTCAGCTCAACCGACATGAGTACCTATGAATGAGAATTGAGCGAAATACGCATGCAAAAGAAATTTTTGCTGCCCGATTAAGAACTCGTTCACGCCAAAAAATTAACAGACTTTAACCAAGTTGTCGTTTCGCGTAAAAACTCGTCCTAAGTAGAAGGCTTAAGGTACAAAGTAGCTCAGACTTGGTTTGCTAATCAAGTAAAAAAAAAACACTTTGAAGATTTTATGTACCCAAGTACAATACCTTTAAGATAAGCTGACACTTAAAACTATAGACCCAGCGGAAAGATAATTTAGTGTAATTATATAAATATCTAGATTTAAACAGTTTTACTGATAGTACCCAGTATGCAAACGCATTAATACAATCGTCTTTGTCTAAATAATCTTGTTGTTTATTCGTCTTGATATTAATTTCATGCAGATAAATTTATGCTGAAAAAACAAATCGTCAATTGGATATACAATTTTATATTAAAATAATAATGGAATACATGCGCAACATATTCCATTAAATTATACAGAAAAAAAATCTGATACTCGGGAAACCAGGGAATAATCTGTCAGAACATGCTTTTTCTTAGTGTTCTTATTTAAATATTTATATTTTTTGTCTCGTCCTCGAATCCTGAAACCAAACGTGCGTCTTGAGTTTCGATATTCCCGCAATTTTTGATATTCTCTCCAAATCCTGGAACAATGATGTTCATTTTATAGAAAAATTAACAATTTGAAGGAAGAATCCATTTAATTATTATTTTCGGTATAAATTCTCTCACCTGGTCGTCTGGATTCGAATCTAGTAAAAAATTTGCTTGCAAAATCGTCAACTGTTGCCCTGTTAGCGTTCCTATTTATGCATGACCGATTTCAATTTTGAAAATAACAAAATTAGCAAAATTACCACCCTGATATTCCCCCAGAGCTTGGGTCGCTGCCTCAAAGTGAGTTTTGCAAAGTAGTTTCGACTTGTGAAAACCAAATTCCTCTCCAGTTGAGACTATCTGTTTGCAAGCCTCGCAACAGAAACAAGCCTGTGAAGTGATTTAGGTCAATTAGTATTAATTGAAAGGGGAAACCTTTTGTGATTTTGCCTCTCGGCTCAAAAATTTATAGAGAATTTTTACATTTCCATTTCATGGAAATGCAGTTTATGGTATAGATATACTCATTTTTTACTGGATGGTGAAAAATGTAAACTTCGTAGATATTACATTACCATTTTAGTTGTGCGGCTCAGTAACGATTTGTTACCACGCTATTTTAAATCTCAAGCCTAATTACGTTGTAAATGATACATACCATGTGATAAGCTTGCTCCGTTAAAGAAGTAGGATCTCGAACACGACGTGCCCAATCGGTACAAGAAATCCAACTCGTACATTTCGCACATTTCGAGACAAACGCATCGTCCTCATTTTTTCTATCTCCTCTAGAGATTCTCATTCCAGGCAAATTTTTGACCGCCGGGAATCCCGATTCTTGGCTGCAACTTTCCAGAATTGGAGCGTCTTCGACGTCCTCGTAAATCTGATAACCCCAAATCGCCAAGAGCAAAACAACGTGCACGACAATCACTAGTAGATAAGCGGAGAAGCGAGCATAGTCGTAAATCTCACCCTCCTCCATCTTCACGTTCGTTTCACCCATTAAGGTTTGTAGACAATCAGCCTTATTCAGGATGCAGGTGATTGTGAGAACTGCATAAACCCATTTTTTAGTTATCAAATCCTCCATGCCTTTCGGCTTATCTTGGACAAATTGTTAGAAGAGTGTAGGCCTTTAAAATATCTATTATTTCTCTGCCAGACAAGAAATGCGACTAAAGATGAGGGTTACAGTGAAGAGAATTTAAAGGAACTTGGTCTTTTTCTTGGATGAATAGCGACTAGATATGGTTGTATGTTAATTTATTAAACCTTAAGGATTTTAGTCTAAGGATGAGGGTGAAATAGGAGACATGGAGCCTGGTCCCTTTCTTGGGTTCGTTTCTTGTTACCTTTTGGGCCAAGGACGGATGAAAAAGGTTGAGTTTCCCTGCTCCCATTGTTATGAAGTTGGGCCTTTGGTACGCATATTATTCTTCGTTTTCATAATATTCTTCAACGAGGATGGAAAATAATCCTAGTAAGGTACATGTGTGTATCGGATATGTATTTTATAAACAACATATATACGTACTAGGAAGACTGGGTATGTGTGCCCCGACCAAACAAACCCACTACATGCAATCGTTGCATTTTTCAATTGTAGCCCCTAGATGTAACAATATTTCCATGTAAATGAAATTTTGTCACGCTGTGACTAGTGCTCCGTATGGATCCGAATCCGGATTCGAATCTCGAATCTGGCACCGAATCCTTATTTTTGTGATTCGATACTTTGGAATCCGAATCCATAGTTTCTCAAATTCGGATTCAAGTGAATCCGAGCCAGGGCTTACGGTACTGTCATGTTCGTCTGCCCAGCGAAAACGCTTTGGACTTTTTGAGTTCAAATTTCGTGTGAAAATAGACGACAAATTCGAAGGTTGATAAAATCGTTCCAGTGGTTGACCAGCAGAAGTGAGATGGGCACCTAACTGAAAATGCGATGGTGTGAAGTGCAACTCACTGATTAGGTTGAGACTTTTAAAATTAATTGGCCCAAGTCAATGCAACTCTCTTCAGGCGATCTTCGAAGCCAAGTCCCGTATAAAATAGGTGACTTAGATTGATTTCTTTTTGATGCATTATGGACTTGCCTGCATTTCTTTTTGACGGGTTTTGGACTTTGATGCATTACTCGCTAAGGCAAAGATACATATTTATTCTAAAAAAATCGTGTAAAATTCACTCAATTTTGAGTGAAATTGCCACCAAGACAACTATTGATTAATAGTTACCCAATAAAAGTTAAAATTTATCCAACTTTGATAGGTTTTTGCTCAACCTCGAGTAAATTTTAAATTTAAGGGGGTAAATTTTACTCAATAGTTGTCGTGGTGGCAATTGCACTCAAGTTTTTTTTTCAGTGTATCATCAACACTTTTGATTTTTTGGCTTTTTTACCAATAATTTACTTATACAATTATATTTTTCTTTCCCTTCCCAGGTGATTCCACTAGTTTCCACTAGTTTGCAAATTCCTATCAATTCATGACATCAAATAGTGTCGGTTCGTGTCCAAATCGTGGCTCGTAGGTTCCACACACGCCCTCAAGCTCAGGACGCAGATTGAGATTGAATTCCATCCAGAAAACTCGAGCGATCATGACCCAGCAGAAAAGCTAAAATTTTTCCCGGTCAACATTCACATCAAATTTTCGTACAAATACAGCCCACGTGAATACGCTGAGCCGTCCTTCGAGCCGTCGACCCCAAAACGTTTGATCCTGTTCGCAAGATGAAATCAATTTCGATCCAATTCCTCACCCCACATCACGTTCAGTGGCAGAAGGACTTAGTTCTCAAACTCATTCGCATGTCGCCCACGAGTCTGCAAAGGTTACGGTTTAAGTGGGAAAATTACCATGTTTTTCCATGCCTGGGCGATAAGAGCTTCTCGAAATTGAAAAGACTGGAAATCAGCTAACCACCCAAGCTTAGAAATGAATCGCTCAAAAGGATTGGCCACGCAGTGACGGAAGCGTTCACAGCGATAGAACACATACAAATTGAGAGTGGTCATTTACTTGAACTGGGATGACATCTTCGTTGTTGAAGATGATCTCGTCATTGCTCATCTAGACGGAGGTGGAGGCCTGAATACCATCACTTTTCTGAAGAAAGTGTCCGGCTTGGTTAAGATTGATGAAAATGGGACAGCCAGCGTCACTTCGGGAGGGAAGGTTTCGACGCGAAATGTTCAAGTTTGGCAAGGAAGGGCGGGCCGTGTTGAAGAGGTCGGGGTGAATCTACATTTCGAAGTTTTTAAAGTAATTTCCCTCAATGGTGGCAGTGCGAGAGAGCCGGATAAAATAAGTGTAACAAATACATACCCCGATGTCCTCCCACAACCCCATAATCTCACCATTGTCGCGACAGGGAACACATTTGCAGATTTTTATGAGACTGGACGAGGGAATTTCGGGATTTATGTGCAACCTTTCAAGGGATCGGTCCAATTCTGGGCCAACTTTAGTGTCACAAATGAAGCCAAGTACACAATTGCGGTGAAAATTTCGCCCTATAAAATATGCGATAGTGACATCCGTATTACCGGAGAGAGGGTTGAAATCCAGCTAAAATTGTCCAACGCCTCGGAAAACGAAAGTTTTATAACATTCGGGCTCCAATTCTCCAATGTCAGTGATTTCACAGACTTCGAAAATTTGGGGAAAATATTTTCCCCAATCTTCATCTCCGACTTGTACACAACGGAGGCAAGTCTGTTAATAAATCTGCATACGAGGGAACTCCAGCTACTCCACGTTTGTCCAGAGGAGGTTGAAAACCTGAATAACAGAGTGAAAAGTGGTGGAATCGGGGTAAAGAACATCTTCCGAATACGCGATTCTTTCCGGACGGTGCACGGTGGAAAGTTTGATGACGCCTTTGTCCTGGAAAATGACGAATTTCATGGCCAAATTTATGGCCATGGGGGCGTGAATTCCCTAATTTTCGACGACCGCTTCAACTCTAGTTTAGTTCATGTGAATCTAAAAGAGGAAACTGCAACGTTTGATGGTCAGTTTAACAGCGGGGTGAGAGGGATTCAAGTCGTGGGTGGGAGGAGGGGAAAGATGGACGTAGTTTTCACAAACTGTCATATCAAATTGGTCAAATTAGAGGGCGGAGGCTCACTCCGTGATCAGGATGTTGTCGGAATTTCTAAAGATTTTTGCTCTCCAGATGTAACCATCATGACTCAAAGCTTCACCCAGATTCAGAATCAGGCAGAAAGAGGAAATTTTACCTATTTTGTTGAAAGCCTGGAAGGAGTCGGTACTGAGTATCTGATCGGCACAAATTTAAGCCACCACTACAAATTCACGGTGGAACTTGAGCAGATCGGTTCGGTTTCCTTGCTCGGGTCAATTTTACATCTTGGGATGAAAAGCAATTTCCACTTATTGGGGGAGATGGTGTAAGAAATTTGTCCACGTAACAGTTCAAGGGCAAGAGTGACTTACTGATAACCGAATTGGTCATTGACGCAAACTACGGGTCCCAACATGCCACCCTGGGTGCCATAATCGTTGGGAAATCTTCCTTCTCTGGAAACATTTCGAGGAAGGGATCGGTCATATCTTAGGAGGAGAGTTAAACGACAATATATTCTTGATTAAATCGACACTCATAATTAAAGAAGTTGATAGGAAAGGACACAATAGACTCCAGTTTATGCCAGGGTATTGGGCAGGATCCGATTTAGAGGTCGATCTCCGAAACAGTGAAGTATATAATAAACTGCTTAGCCATCAGAAACCAATTACCGTAAAAACCACAAGTTGAGCTAAATTGCTTCAGTTTATTATTAGTTTTTCCCTTTCTGTTGGCGAACCAGAGTAGTAATTAACCGATGCTTATATTTAGCAACGCATTTATTTTCTTATTGGAAGGAGGAGTTACATTAAGGGCTGTTTGCCGGCTAAGCGAATTTCGAGATCTATCGTATCTATTTTTATAGATCATGGTAGTAGAAGAAAAAATCATAATGGGCGCATGGCCAAAAAATGCCTCCAAAACCTTCTGTAGGCCAAAAACTGACGATATTGACATGTCAATTCTTGACACCTTCAGGGGCTATTATTTCCAAAACGGCTAAAGATTTCTTAATACTACCAATTTTAGAAATGATGGTACTTACATAGGGTTACTATAAAACCGCATACCAAGCTATGATCATTTAAACTTGCTTCACTAAAAAATCAGATGTCACAAAAATCATTATTTTTTACGGTTTTTTGCAAATATTTCGCTTACTATGCTTAAATCCCACCGTACGATTTGGCTCGGGTTATTTTTATTTGGAAGGGCAACTATACCCATACAACATATCAAAAATTTGGAGATGGTACATTCTTAGTTTTCGAGATAAAAAATCAAATATGTCAAAATTGAGCTAAATTGCTTCAGTTTATTATTAGTTTTTACCTTTCTGTTGGCGAACCAGAGTAGTAATTAACCGATGCTTATATTTAGCAACGCATTTATTTTCTTATTGGAATTATACAGTTATAACGAGAAATCAGTTTACTATGGTTAGGACTACAATTTTGGTTCAGCGTTCATAAGATTAATATGTTCAGCGTATTTAAATTGATATGCATTTGTGTAAAAATGCGTTACAATTGAGTCCGGTCTCTGCTTGGCACGAATATTACAAGTACCACTGTATACTAGTTGCTCGTTTTAAGTACTGCTTATGAAATTCAACGTAACCGTGATTAATAAATTTGTATTAATAAAATTGCCAAATTGTTAAACTACGCGGTTGTACATATAAAATCAATCAATTAGATACTTCTCATTTTTTTAATTCTATTAAAAAGCTCCAAGGCGCTAAGGATCACAAAAATGCAAAGAAAATTTTCCCGGCCCTAGCTTGAACTGCCGACAATGGAAAAATTCGAGTATCATTCAAGCCGACTGACCATCGATACAATCAATGACCAAATTATGATAAAGCGGCTAATAGGATTTTCCTTAAAATTTTATTAAGAAGCTCCAACACGTCAAGGATCTTAAAACTGACAGAAAACAAATTTATTTTGACATAAGCAGAAGCGATATCGTTTGTCTCAAGCAAAATTCCTGAACCACAAGTGGAGTTAGGATTTCTACAAAGTTATTGCCAAACTGCATCCTCAATGGTCTTAACGACTTGTGTAACTTTATTGAATATTTTTTCTTCTCGACACCTTTGCATTTCGCAATCCAAAATTTGCTAACGGTGTATACCTTCGCGGCTGCAGTGAACGTTAGAAGAGTAAAACTTAGGGTGCATAAGTATATGAAGACTAGCGCGACGGCAATAAATTGATGGCCGGCATGCAGCACATTAATTAATGCTGAGAAGATAATAATTTGAAAGGTAGGCAAAATTAAAGCCACCATGAAGAAAATTTGCGCACGGGTGCAAAAATTCAATAGTTTTTCTAAGATTTGTACCCGCCGGTACTCCACTTGTTGAGCGGCCTCTCGTTCATATCGTTTTATAAAGGTCTCACATGCCATCCAGATAAAGATTGTGCCGGTTAATAGAAGTATTATAGCGTAGTATCCCGCGCTTACACAGATTTGCATAAATATGCAAAATTCCAAGGCTGCAGTCAGTAATCTTAGGAGGAAGTTAGCTTGCCAAACCATGTCCAGGCGGTAAAGTAAGTAGCTGCTAAGTCCAGGCTGACATGGGCGGAAAGCCACTAGTAGAAAGTGTACGCTCGACATGGCATAATACCCAAGTTCCATGGAATTCAAGAATATGATAAGATAGGTGATGAAAGAACTCTGTTTTCCCCTATTTTCGGCATCTGTGAGGTCTAAGAGTAACGTAATACAATTAGAGAAAACATGACAAGTGTAATAGACACGTAGCAAATCTACGTTCACCCATTTCCGTAACTTTGTCAGTCAATTGCTTTATCTATTCAATATTTTTGTACGAAACATAGAAAACTCTTGAATTTTGACTTCAAAATTTATCCCGGAAAGTATGACCCAAATCAAAATCGAGTTACAGAAATTAGAAAACCGTAGAATTGCTAACTCCGCAATATTTCTATTAGAACTGTGGTGGAAATTTTAAAATTAGACGCTTTTTTACGATTTTTCCTTATATTTAAATTGTCATCAATTTTAGGATGATGTCAAAAACCAAAACGGTTTTCAAAAACCTGGACCATAGGGAAAATTTTGAATTCTTATATTTTTTTAATTGCCACA